ATTGTCGACCGAAATGTTGCTTCCGTTACATTCTCAAATGCTTGCACCGCTTCAATTGGACGATTGTCTTTTAACAAACTGTATGCTAAGTTACATAGCATTTTATCCCTGAAACGTAAAAATGAATCATGATATAATGCCAATTAGATTGCATGCAATCATTCTATGGAAAATTACCGGTTTGATGATTGTTCAATTTGTTGACTAGCCGCTTGAAAAGTGCGAGTTGCGATGCACCAATTTCGTTGATTGTAATTTAAGTAGCCGAGAAATGAAAGCGCCTCCGATGAAATGTTCGTTTCATTTGCATTACAATACCAGGTAATTGAATCAATTGCCGATGAAATTGCATTCAAATGCTCAACATAGTATTGTGCACGCTTTTGATTTTTCGTATCGCTGAGCAACATACACACCCAATAAGCGTATTGAATGGCTGACTCATCGTTGTAGCTCAGTGTTATTGAATGTTGCAGCAAATCAATTGTTTCGGCTGGTTTTAGGATTTCTGCCACTTGCGCTTGGCCTGTCCACGCATTTGCAAATGATGGTTCCGATTGTTGGGCCTGCTTAAATGCTGTGTTTGCCAACATTATTTTACCTTGTGATAAATATAACACACCCAAGTTTGTCCATACAATGGCCAATTTACGATCCAATTCCAAGGCTTTGATAAAACAATGCTGTGCCAACGACAAATTCTGTACATCTGATGAAATTATGGAAATGAGCGAACAAATTAGTTATCTACTTCGAATTTAAAGAGAATACAAAACAATGACTGATTTTTTTTTTATTGAGATGCGCCAATTTTGTTTTAATTGACCGAGAAATGAATGTACCTTCGATGAATTGACTACGAGTGAAAAAAAACAAATATGATTTGCTTTACCTTTAGTAGTGCAAATAACTCCCAGTAAATTCCAATATTTCCACTTGTGTGGCGCCTCTTTGATAATATGCTTTGATGTTTCGGCAGCTAATTCGAGGTACTTTTTACGCGTTTCAGTTGTTCCGTATTTTAATGAACGATTGTAATAATTCAAGGACAACTCATACCAAAGGGATAAATCGGACGAACTCAATTTGATGGCGCGGCAATAAAATCTAGCACAATGAAAATTAAACGAGGGTTTCTATCACAATTTTCATTTAATTCAACGTAATTATATTATTGTTCAGAAAGGAGAACAATCTAATAAGTCTCTATTCAAAGGCAAATAAATGAAAAGATTTTGAATTTTATAGAATTATTTACCTGGATGCAAGTTCAAATAGTTTATCACCGCATAGCGTAACAAATTCATCGCTTTCATTTGCCAACGATCCAGGGATTGTTAGAACGGCTTTCGATTTTGGTAGGGCGGCTATAAAATCAAAACAATTGGCCAAAAGT